TCTAAAAACGGGTGCTGGTTGCAATTAAAGAAGATCGTAAAAGACAAATAAATCAATGCAGCGATGAAGGCCTCGGTGGTAAGTTCTGAAACTAATTCTAAGTGTGCGGCTTTGGTGGCCGTACACACAAATATACAAAAATAAGATTTTGTTGGTCCTCTTGTACGGTGGAAGATGGTGTATATTAGTCCAGCAAAATCAATCGCCACCTGAGAAAAGGCCTTAAGTTGAGAGACTCGTGTTGTCGGAAGATCAGCCATCATTAGTGCATACGACTTCGGTTTACAACGAAAACATCTGAGACATCTGGAGAGGACTCTGAACAGCACACTTCTGGAGTGGAGAATCCAATAATGCTGCAGCACCAATGCTTGAAGGGTTCGTTGTCCCGGGTGAAGGTATTTTTTGTGAATGTCTTTCACGATTACTTCACTTAACCGATTGTTCTTTGGTAGCAAAACTGGATGCCGATGATCAAACGGTATAATTATATTATTATATTATTAGATTCTTGGGTCATCAGGATCAAATCGCCAAAAGATCTTTTGATATGATCGGTCAGAAGCTGAAATTAAGATCTGTCTATACCTACATGCTAGTAACACTTTAACAATGTCTTGTTGTAGCTTTGGGCCGATCATTAATTGGTTATTCAAAGAATTGCCGTTGGAAGTTATGGCCGATGCATCGAAAACCACTCTGAATTTGGATGAAGAATTATCTGATTGCATGATACAATGATGAGGTATACAATATGATCCTTTAGAAGGATTTTCTGAGGCAGGACTCACTGACATGTGATTTGATTGTAGATAATCTTGCATAAATTGGACATAATTGCTTCTTAAGGATGGATTTTTCAATAAACGGTGTTCGAGTGAGAGAAATCGTTTTATTGCAATTTTGCTGGAATCACCAAGAACTGGTTCTGAATTTTTAAAAGGTAAGGACACCATAATTCTGCCAGTAGGGGTGCGTTGGTAATTAGCCTTGAAATGAATTTCACATTTTTCTTCTAGTGAAGTGGGTTCTGTCTCGCCAAATGGAGATTCTATTTCCCAAAATCTTTGAATCGACTTTTGAAGGGAAGAGTTGGTAGTAGATAAACAGGTCGAATTTGAAGTGATTGTTGCAGTAGATGTTTTTCCCATGATGATCCATCCAAAGACTGAATTCACAGCGATGGGTTCATGGGATCGGCCTTGGATACGGCCTTCGGTAAAGATTTGAGGGACTAATTCTGCGCCCAACAGTAGGTCGACGGTAGGCAAGGTAGGACTATCTTCTTTGCGAGGATCTAGATGTTGCAGGTGAGATTATTTTGAGATTATGGATGAAATTGAGGGAGGATCAGAACAGATTTGATGAGTTATGATAGCATTGAAATTAAAGGATGGATCGGATGAATGTAGAGGCTGAATGGAACAGTCGACAGATCCTTTATTGCATAATGAGGTCATGGAATTTAATCCTTGGATCTCTAAACATGAAGTATGCTTTCGTGGCAGACGTAATTTTTTAGCAAATCGTTCAGAAATAAAATTGGACATCCTGAGTCGATTAAGGCATTTATCCGGTGCAATCCTCCAAACTGATCCTTTATTCGGATGCTGGCAATTGGCAGAATAACTTCATGATAAGTTTCCTGAACGTCAGCAGGGTTTTGATGAAATGAAGTTCCCACGTGAACCGTAGGAGAATTCGAACGAGCAATGTGCAAAACAGTGTGATGTCTCTGCTTGCAAACACGACATGTACGTGTCGATGAACAATTTAGAGTAGCATGATGTTTGCTGAGGCAATTTCGACACAGATTATGTTCTCTGGCAATTGTTAACCTTTCTGTTGCAGATTTAGAATTAAAAATATTGCACCTGTATATCGGATGAGACTCTGGGCATAATAAGCACTTGGCAGGTTTGTTATTCACCGAATGATTTTCAGTGGTCATCGTAATCGATTTTTGATTGATGGATTTAGCCCGGCCCAAAGAAGACCTTTCATTAGTTAATAAGACTGCTTCCAACTGCTTTCTTACAAACTAAAAATACTGATGATTTAAGATCCCAATTTGGTGTTGTTTTCCAACGATTAATGGAGAAGTACGATTCGGCACCACCCCAATCACATGAAGCAGTTGATCTTATTCAACAATCTCTTAAATGTTGTGGAACTGCAGGACCGCATCGAAGGTTGGCAATGATATTTTATTTAGTTTAGGCGAAGATGAGCTTGAGGCATCATTAACAGATTGAGAGCTTGATGGTGATAATCGATGAAAAAGGGCTTTGATTGTATAATATGCTGTGTCAGCTTGTATGCGAATTTCATCTTGAGCGTCAAAATCAGCTTCCTCGATTAATCCAATAATTTGTTTGTGAACATCTTTGAAATCTTGGTAAACCTCGTCCATATGAACGCGCGACAATAAGCCGGGCTCTAAAGACCGGTGCTGGTTGCAATTAAAGAAGATCGTAAAAGACAAATAAATATAATTTTAATAATTCTTACTCTTTATGTTTCCCACCCACCATACAAAAATATAAATGTGATGTTAATTTAAAGCACTAGCCGTGTATACTAAAATCGCGAATGAAACTAAAACTATTACAGTATGAATGATTGATCGTGCCCGAACACCCACATTTTTACAAAATAATGTAAACAGTAGAGTGCAGATAATGCCAGCTTTTATGCCCGTTCATGAAGTATCTATAATAATTAATAACATTAAAACTGCAGCGGTGGGTTCTGATGGTATCTCAGTCTGGATGATTGACTTGTGTACCCCTTTTCTCATTCCTTATATTACTCACGTAATAACGCTGCTATTCATCATTCAGTTTTTCCGGATGCCTGGAAGATGACTGAAGTAATTGCGTTACCTAAAGTATCTTCCCCTTCTGCTCTAAGGGATTTTAGACCGATCAGTATCCTACCAGTAATGTCAAAAATTTTAGAGAGACTCTTGGAAAGGCAACTTAGAGCACACTGCGAAAGTTATAATATACTGCCAGATCAACAATCTGGGTTTCGTTCGGGTTTCAGCTGCGCAACAGCTTTATTGAACTTTACTGATGAGGTATTTGCTTCTAGAGAGGCCGGGCAAGCCGCACTTTCCCTTTCACCGTCTTGGAAATCAGGCTGTAATTTTGATAAAGTCAAAAGTTGTGAAGATTAATGGTCAGATATCGAGCGCTCTGTCTGTTACTCGTGGAGTCCCCTTTTTAAACGATCTAAATGATCTCTTTGAAAAGTTGTAGAATATAATTTAATAAATTACCGTACTATAAACCGAGAGAGCGCAAATCAACGCAGTTTTTACCAAATTAGTAATTTGATATAGTAGTAAACGCGATGTAGGGTTCGCTGTTACAATTTGATCCTGATATTGATCGGAATAAGTTAAATATGAGATAACATTTTTTACCAGAAAGATAACATAGCCTTTGGAACATCTAATAACAGTTTAAGTTGAGGATTTGAGGAGCATTTTAGTCGATATTACTTGTGACCGAGGCGCTACTCAGCCGTATTGATATAAATCTGAATCGTTCTTAAGGACAAAGTCATTTGCTACCGAGGTGCTGCTATGTAGACGCCATATTTGGTTAGTTTGTGGGAAAACTGATATGGAAGTGAGTGATTGAGTGAACTTGTCGTGTTATTAATAGTCTCAAATGTTGGGCTGCAAGTTACCTCGGCTTAAATTTGTCATAATCATTAAAAACATTTTATTAGTACTTTAAAATGATATTTGTATTATATGATTGCAATGTTCTATATTTTTAATGGAAAAAATGAAATCGAGGCGTAACATTTCAAACTGCTAATGATACAACGAGATTCAGGTTATGCCTCGCGTGCAAGCAACCTCTGCTACAACTTTATTAAAGCATACATGCAGATTTGTCTGCAAAAAATATCAGAAAATGATACAGAAATTACCGCCGAAGAGAATAAATCCTGATGCGTGCTCAAGTAACGGGTATACCTGCATTTTCTTGGAGAACTTTCGAGTATATCCTCTAAACTCTTTTAAAATATTACTCTATTTCTTAGGTATAAGTCAAAATAGAAACTTGACTTCTAAGATAAACTTAACAAAGGCAACTATTTAGGAATCCTCTCTGTGCCTAAATATACTTTGAAGAAGTAGCTTCAGCCATCATTTCAATAATTAATTCTTCTTGATCTAATTTTTCTTGATTTATTAGTAAATGCTTTGAAGCAAATTCAATTAGTAGTTAATGAGATGATATTTTTTTGCATTTATTTTTCTATAAAGTACATTATAAATTTTATGTTGAAAACATCCATCTTTAAAAAGCCATATAACTCAAAAATTATTTGAGTTATCTGTATGAAATGAAAAACAAGGCTGTTCGAGGCTATTTAAACATAAATGAATTACGTGTTTATCAATATTAAGTGTAATTAATTTGTCTCTCTTTAAATAAAAAATATTTGCATAAATAAACTTCTACATGAATTTTACTGCTTTGTGGATCCTGCCAAAATTCGAAAACAACGTGCAAAAAGTGCAACTTTGCCATCCATTAATGGAACCATTAGTTTCAAACCTTTTTTAATTAACAAGTTTTTTTGGTGCCACAATTTTGTTGTAAACTGATTTTTTACGAAATTTGATGAATAATAAAAGTAATCTTTAGAACCATTTCAATGAAAACCAAATTAATTAACAAGCCATTCGAGCGTCAGATCGTCTATAATAACTCCCCTACGTGTTGGTTTCGGTGTATTATAACGACGCATTGGCGTCGATTGAATTGATTCCGCGTCGTGATATATTAACGGAGGTCTATACTGGGGACAATGAAATTTATGTTTTGTACGTGTAATGAGATTTAGGACGCGTGCGTGCTCATACACGATCGTCTCTCTTCGATTGGGATTTAATATTAAAAATTCCTTCGATAAACCCAAAGCCAATATTTGAGAATATAGAGAAAAATAAATTTATAACATAAATTACTCACCTTTATATAAAACTTCTTTAAAAGTACTCGTGATGATCCTCAATTCCGGATTGGGCGTGTCACCAATCTGAAAAACGTGATGGCACGATATTAGGCACGAAACACACACCCGGGGACAGGTTGAAATTAATCTAGGGTGGAATGTGACCCCATTTTTAGATGGTCAGTAACATTGCTCGAGGGTTAGCGTGACAAGCATCAGTTATAAAATAGAAAATATGATAAATCTAAATGAAAACTTGAAAGAATTTTTTTTTATTTTGATTATAAATGTAATGAATTGAATAATAAGTGTTGGAAATATTTCTTGCTTTACCGGTTTCAATTCATTAATTAATCATCCTTAGGAGTATTGCTAAGCCTTCAAAATTTATAACATACGAGGAGTTTAATCATGGATGAAAAAGGTAAAGGCAATTTAAAAATTTTATAGGATATTTTAAGCTGTCTTTCAAATATTTGAAAGTGTTTAAAAAATTTAAATGTTATTGTTGAAATGTTATATTTATCATAAAGCAATCCCAATCAAGATGGCATTAATGTTTTATGACTTGTCTATATAACATAAAACAAGTGAATATTATTAATTATTAATTGTCAATATACAGTGCGTTCACGATGAAAGGAATAAATTCGATAAAATTTTAGCAATTGCTCTTTGGCAAAAATGTTTGAAATGGTCAATTTTAAATTTTCATTTGTGATTTTTTTATGTACAGAACAACCAAATATGACTTCCGGTTTGAGCGGAAGTGATAGTAACTTTTTTATATCAAAGACAACATACTGTATATTTTCATGGATTTATATAGAGGATTAAATAAGCTTTTCAGTAAAGCCCCCATTATCAGACTTATTATGAATAGTTTTTAAAATAACGCCATAAAAAGAAATCATTCCCAGCAAGCTATGCAAACTTAAATTTAAATTCCTAGTATTACTACAAAAATATTTCTACAGCACCCTAGAGGCTTTTTAATAAACATACGTCATTATTTTTGCAAAGATTGAATGAAAACAAACAATGCTTAATCAAAGTGGCTTATAAGTACGACAATTTAAAAATCATAGTAAATATACAATCTGTCAAAATTGTTCTAAGTGTTTCTTATCGATATTGCCCATCAAACTGATAGTTCACGATGCGTTTAAGTGAAAAACAACGAATAGAGATTCTTATGATGATTGGTTTCGGAGATCGAACTCGTAAACATGAAGAAGTTGTTAATTTATTTAATGTAAAATATCCCAACCGTCCGCCAATTGCTCAATCTACTGTGAGTAAGATTGAAAAGAAATTTAGAGAGTTTGGTCACGTCAGGGATTTACCAAAAGGGCGCCCAGATAAGATTTCGGAAGATACTAAACTATTCGGCAAGAAGTATCTTCGACCGATAACAGTTATTAAAAAACTTATTGAAAAAGACCCATTGAATAACATTCAAAAACAAATTAACACCTTTATTAAATGTATACAATCACAAAAATTCATTAATGACATCGAAGCTAAAAAATTAAAAACATATAATTCAGTCTTGGCCAAAGCGTATTTTCTTCCAAAAATCCATAAGGAAGATAACCCTTTAAGACCTATTATTTCTTCTGTGGGCACCCCTTCCTATGAATTGTCTTTTTACATGGCAAACATACTAGCTTAGCTTTTAACGACAGAACTGATTATAATATCAAAAACACTTTTCAATTTGTTAACGATTATAACGGTTACAAGCTGCCACGGGATTACATATTGATTTCCCTTGACGTTATCAGCTTATTTACGGTGATTTCTTTGGACTTGGTCAATAAAATTATAGAGGAAAAATGGGATTTAGTAGCGGACCAGTGTGGTTGGGATAAGGACACGTTTTTGTTGGGTTTGAAGTTAATCTTTGAAGCTTCAGTCTTTACTTTTAATGGAACAATCTACCGTCAAATTGAAGGAACCCCTATGGGCTCCAAAATCTCTCCGATACTGGCTCTGATAGTGATGGACCACGTCATTGATAACATTTTAAAGAAAAATAACATAAACTTCAGAATTAATTTCATCAAAAAATATGTAGACGATCTAATTTTGGGTGTCCACAAAGACGATGCAGTAGCAATTTTAAATCAATTTAACAG